GGTGCAAATGGAAACAAATCTATGGGGTTGAGGTAAGGGCAAGGATGAATCTGAGGACCTTACAGAGATACCTGTTGCATCTATCTGATGGTTATTAGGGAAGCCTAGGCTCCCTGGATGGATCCCCTACAGTGACAAGATGTGGCTTGCATGTTTTATACACATGCTCTAGGTTTCTTAGTATTCTCTAAGACAGATCAGGAAGCCAGTTAGGAGAAAGGACAAAATCTGACCACATCACACAACTAAAAAGTAACAGAGCTGAAATTTTAATCCCAAACTATTGGAGTCCTTGGCTCTTTATGTATATCCAGTGCTGCCTCATGTTAGCAGGGTCTTTGAACCCTATTCCTAAACCCTGTCTTCAGTTTTCTCTTCAAATTTCCTGACACTTTTCCCGTCACACCTACAAGTAAAGGCCCTAGGTAAAAACAAGACAACTTGCACATACACCATAACCAATCTTTCCTTCAAGCATTTCAACCTCACCTCTGTTATATCCAACTTCAGCCCTGTCACTTCCCTAAATGCTGCGCTTGAACCTCTGAACACAGCCTTCAAAGATTTCAGCCTTGAGTACTAACAGACAAACAGCAAGTAGGACGATGGACTTGTTTGTTAGACACTCTGGAAAACAGCAGCTTAGAGCAACTTTAAAATAGCAACCAGTGGAATAAACACATCAATTACACAGGGTGGTCAGGAGACGTGCTGTAAACAGCAATTTATTAAGGAAATTTAAACTCTAGTGACAGTTTGTAAATCCTCACCGAAAGGCTTTCTACCTAACAGCAATATTTTTATGGTTCCTATTCCCTGGCTATAAATGTGCACTTCTTCTTAAATAGCCCTTTCACAAGCCCTGGTCCAGCCCAGGAGACAAGCTGGTGACATCATCCTGCTCCACAAAAAAGGGATTGTTCAGCCTCCAAGAACACTGAGTGAGGCCTGGCTTCCCCGAGAACAAGGTGGGTTCAGGGACACCCGCCCCCATTATCTTTGATGTATGTGTAGTTCTTGATGTGATCTTTTCCCAGATTATTACCATTTTCCCCCTCCTATTCCTATTGGGGTTTTGGGGGTGGAGGCCATGTCTGATGTCAATCAGCTTTGGGACAAGGACAAAAACCTTACCTTAAGAATATCCTCAGATCTAACTCTCTTTCATCTTCTTCCAGCCAATCCTGCAGGCATTTAGTTTCCAGTGGTTTTCCCTAAAGGAAGATGAACTGAACTTGGAATCTCAGCAGGAGGAAGAGAAATTAAGGGAAAGCTCCCAGCCCTGTCTGGCCTCAGGGCCAAGCACCTGCAAGCCAACCAGAGTCTCCCCAGTGCTGAGCGGGATGGTTTCCTAGCATGACTCCAAGTGTTATTATGCCAAGTGAGTCTGTCTCTTTACTCTTCCAAGAGTTGAGTTGCTATTTCCTTGGTCAAGTGCCTTGTTGCCGGAGTCTCAGAGCAGAGGTTGAAAAGGAGGGAAGCAAAAGCAAAACCATCCTGCCACACATTAGTTAAGAGTTATTGAGCAAACACTGTACCGCATGCATAGTGGAGCTAATCCAGCACAGCTCCTGCCCTCTGGGAGCTTTCAGCCTAGCCGAAGAGCCTGACATCTAACCAGTAAACCAAGTAAATACATTTTTTAAATGAGTACCAACTATGAGAAGTGCTATAAAGGAAGCAAGGTACCTTCTTAGAGAAAACAGAGTAGGTCCTTGCTACATTATGCAGATAGAGAAGCTATGTCTGAGAAGGCTATCTTCGAGTTCAAATCTGGAGGACAAGAAGGAGTCGGTCATCTACAAAGTAGCACTAATTTGGACTCACACCAAGAGGTCAAGTTTGGGAAGGGGTGGTGGTATAGTGACAGGGAAAAAGTGTGTGGAAAAGCACCGTGGGTATGGAAAGACGGAACAAAATACAGCTCAAAATTGGCAAAAGATCTCCACAAAGGAAGAATCAGGTGGATCTCACCAGGTAGGAGGTCCTAGGAAACCAAAGTAAGAAGTCTGATTTCATCATAGGTACAATGGAAGGATTTGGAAAGTTTTAAGTCAGAGAGTGACAATCCCATCAGTGATGTGTGGAGCATTCCCTCAGTTGGGTAGGGGCAGAGTGGCTGAGCTGGGCCAGGACAAAAGCTCTTGGTGATGTCAGATGAGATGACGACAGAAAAGAGGAAGCAAATGGTGGTGGTGGAAACCACAGCATTGCTGCTGACAAGGACACAGGGAAGGGTGTTGCAGGCAAAAAATCAAGGGGGTGGCGTGGCAAGGCACAAATATTCTTCCAAGTTTTCAGAAATGGCCCCCTGAGTGGTTTGGGGACATGAATTGTGCTGGAGAAGAGTCAGGAAAAACAGACTTTTAAAAATCCATGGGATGTTAATGGGGGTAGAACCCAGAATTTAACTTCAACCATCACAAGTTTGAAATGTCTGAGACATCCAACTGGAAAGGTCACATGGGCCACTGGAACTGTCAATCTGAAGGAGGAGACCAAATTGATAGGTAAATGTGAGAGTCCCAGACAGAGAATTGGAAGTCACAAGAAGGATTAAGATCATCTGGGGAGAGAGAATTGGAGATTAGAGCAGCCCCGGAGAGAGTCCTGGCAGTACAGCTAGGGAAGAAACGAATCCTCAAATATTTAATTAGAGCAAAAAGTGTGGGCTTCAGTAGAACTCTTCTGGATGCTACTGTAATGGTGGATACACGACATTATACATTTATTTTCCAAGACCCATGGAGCTGTACAACACAAATAGTGAACCCCAATATAAACTATAGGGTTTAACTGATAGTAATAGATCGATATTCATTCATCAATTATAACAAATACACCACACAAATACAAGATTTTTTGGTTTTCTTTTCTTTGGCTTTTGTTTTTTTTTGCAAGATGCTAATAATAGGAGAAACTGGGGAGGGGGGTAGGGCAGGCTCTCTCTACTTTCTGCTCAATTTTTCTATAAATCTAAAACTGTTCTAAAAAATAAAGTATTAATTTAAAACGAAGAAAGCATAGGCTTTGAAATCTGGCTAAAAGAAAACAAATCCAAAAAAGCGTCAGAGGTTTCCTGGAAAGGAATAAGAGCCTAAAACAATATAGATTTATTTTGAAGAAAAAAGGCAGCCTTTTCTTACAAATCTAGTTTGAATATAGCATAGATCAAAGATCCAAGAGAAATCATTAGCTTTCCACAGCTATTCTGTACCTCAAAAATCTCTTCTCAGAGTAAAGGATTTGAGAAGCTGGCAAGAAGTATTTTCAATCAATCATAAGATCAGTTGTAAGCATTGATCCTTTTCCACATGGATATCAAAGCATATTTTTCACAGGCCAGGTCAAAGGAGAGATCTTCCAGGGTCAATCAAAACTAGGTTTTAAATTCTACTGCAATTCCCCTGGAATCTGACAGATGAACAAGTCCACTTAACTTTCCTGAGGTTCAGATTCAATCATCTATAAATGGAGAGAATACTTACTCAATACAATCCAGTCTATAAATGGAGAGAATACAAATCAGGGAGTATTTTAGAATACCAAAGAGATCTGGTATTCCATGAGTTGCACATACTATTATAATTAATGGTAAGAATGTCACAGATGTTATTACTATTATTATCATTAAGCACTGGGCATTGTGCTAAGAACTTGTAGCATTATCTCATTTAATCTTTCCAACAGCCCTGGACAGTAGGCATTCCTAGCTCCGTGTGAGAACAGGTTCAGTGACTTACCCAAGATCACACAGCTGATAAATGGGTGAAATTAGAACTTGAACACAGCTCAGCTTGCTTCCACAGTGCTGTCAAGTGCCTGCTCATAGAATGCCCAAATCAGTACAAGGAGTCTGCTTTATGAGTAAAATCTTTACTCTTTATTCCACACTTACATTGCTAAATTATGTCAGGCTTTTCTCTATCAGCGGGCTTACTTCGGTGTTAATACGTGGGTAGGGGACAAAGAAGCTTTCACTGGAAGGCAATGAAGATAGATTAGATGGTGGTTTTCTCCTAAGATCCAGAGGGAATCAATCAACCCTTGGTTCTTCCTATGTTGTCTCAAAAAGAAAATGAAAGATAAGGGAAGTCCCTTGCTTTTGATACAAAAGTCAGTCCGGTTCCTAATACTTGTCCTAAAAAGCCCATTGTTAAGGTAAGAATAATTAAACCAAGTCTTTCACTCTATTATTCTCTTATTTCTATATTCCCTTTGAAAGTATCTTTTAAGTAGGGTAATTTTAAGGCAGACAGCATTGGGTGATGGGGATTTGCAAAACAGCTATAGTTGATAGTTTACATTATCCTTACAGAAATAATTCACCAAATAAAAAAAAGAGAAATAATTCACCATCTCAATTTTCTTTTCATTCTAAAGTGTGTTTCCCAAAACTGTAATTCTTGATGAATCCACAAAATCTTACTAGAAAGCCTTCTGCTTTATCATGGACTATCAACTTTGGCCAACCCTGTTACTCACTGTGAGCAAACCATTCCCAAGTTCCACTTGAGCTGTGTAGACACAGGAATGTGTGTATAACTCTGGCATCACATATACACACGCATATGCAGTAGCTTTCCTAGTTTTTTGGGGTGTGCTTTGTTTATTTATTTGCCCCGAAAAAGGAATTGAATTTCCCAGAACATTAAAAGAACTGCAGAGCTCCAAATCAAGGGCTTAAATATTGGGGTCTTCACAGAGCTACTCCAAACTTTCTGCCCTTTAAATTTAAAAAAAAGGAAGACAAAGAAGGAGGAGAAGAAAGCAGGCAAAACCCTTAATCCCATAGTTAACTCTGATACGCTCTAAAAAGCGAGTCAAGTAGAAAATGTAGCAGGAACATTAAAAACTAAAAAAGTCTAACATGAGACAAGAACAAGGGGCCACCTTATGCTGCGGCCAGCCGAGGAATTCAAACATTTCGTCAGCAGGATTCCAGCCAACCTTCACACGCACTTTTATAAAGCTGGCCCAGGCTCTCCAGAGCAAGATGTGGCTGTGCAGTCTTCTTGCCTCTTAGCTACTTCACAGGAGCTGGCAAGGTGGTCATCAGACTTGCCCAGGAGCCATGGCAAAGAATGGACTTGTAATTTACCTCCTGGTTATCACCTTACTCCTGGACCAGACCACCAGCCACACATCCAAATTTAAAGCCAGGAAGCACAGCAAACGCCGAGTGAAAGGTAACGGGGCTTTTTAGCCCAGCAAAATTCTAGGCTTGCCCAGTGTGGGGAGGGACTGGGCAATGTTCATTTCCCAACTCCTCCAGGAGAACTATCCCTGGTGATAGTACCATGCCACCGTGTGGATATGGCAACTCAGGGGACAGAGTGGCCTTTTAATTCTCTGGAACAGTTTGATATTTAAAGGAATCATGTGGCAGGCCTTTTTCTTAATAGAAAAAGGTTTTGTACTGCATAGCCTTTGTCAAGTAAGCTTTGCCACGCAGAATGCTCTTCAGAGGGATATGTGGATATCCTGGATATGTGGATATCTGGTTTTTATGAGCAAGGGATCAAGTGGAATAGACTGATAATTAAAATATACTGTTTCATTTCTATACATAGTATAGCTGTTCAAATATATTTCTTAGATAACTATAATCTTATTAAATGGGTAGTCAAAGATATAGACCATTTTGTCACTGGTTATCATGTAGGTGTATTTTCACACTTCTGACAATATAAGGACAGTCTAAACTGCATGTTTAAGCTTTTTCATGTCAGAGAGAAACTGAACCTCTTTTTAAACTTAAAAATATTTCAACATGCAAAGTTACATAGTGTTCGAAAGCATTTTAATGCAATACTGAATCTCCAAGCAATCCTCAAATCTGAGTGGGTTGAACTGGGTTAACAGGCAAAAAAGAAAAAAAATAGGGGTACCTGGGTGGCTTGGTCAGTTAAACAACCAACTCTTGGTTTTGGCTCAGGTCATGATCTCAGGGTCTTGAGATGGAGCCCTGTGGGCTCCATGCTCAGCAGGGAGTCGGCTTGAGGATTCTCTCTCCCTCTGCCCCTTCCCCTGCCCACTCTCTCTCCTTCAAATAAATAAGTAAATCTTTAAGGGGGAGCACCTGGGTGGCTCAGGGGTTGAGCGTCTGCCTTTGACTCAGGCTTTGATCCCGGGGCCTGGGACTGAGTCCCATATTGGGTTTTCTGCAGGGAGCCTGCTTCTCCCTCTGCCTATGTCTCTGCCTCTCTCTGTGTCTCTCATGAATCAGTAAATAAAATCTTTTTTAAAAAAAGAGAGAGAAAAAAAAGAAAAAAACAAACCTTGCAAAGAACAAAGATGATAGCAATTTATTTGGAATATGCTGAAACCATAGCAAGAGGGAAAAAGCATCAAGAGAGACAAAGAGTGATGTTTTATCTTATCCTCTGAGTCATTTTCATTTTCATACCAGCGTATTTCAAGGTCAATATATATGATACTATTTCCTTATCAATTTTATTTCATTAGTAATAAAACATACAAAACATACCAACAAAGTGCAAGTCTGGACTTGACACAATGTGGACGACTGGTGGGTAAAAAGGAGGCTTCTCTTGGTGTGTCATGTTTTGAATATAATGAAGTGCCCTGAAAAGGGGGCATTTCTTTCTTTCTTTTTTTATTTCTATGATTTAGATCTGATGCAAAGTTTCTTCAGTGGCATCTTTTTCCTTTATAAAATATTAAACATTCTTATTACCTCTTTTAAATTGAAGATTAAAATACTTCTTGTGAGTGATAAACTATATTGGTGAAGATGAGGGCAGGGAAGATACCGTGTGATGTGGCCTATTTTTACTGCGAGCATTTCTTCAGCTCTGGGAGGTAGAGGCAAAGCGGTGACCACCCAGTAGGGATGTGAGGAGGGATGTGAAGAGGAGACGTGTGTATGCTGTGGGCATGTTTCTGAAGTCATTCAGTTCAGGTCACCAAGAGCTCCCCAACGCCACCCCCAACCACACGCAAGTGTGCACACATGCTTTTCCCTGTTTGCTTTTTAACTGACAGGGCCATACCTCTTCAACATCATCCTCCCAAGGGAATTTTTGTGAGTCTCCGCTATTAGGTCCAAGAAAGCGGACTCTACAGCTGTAAGGGAAGCAATAAGCCGAAACTTACCAAACACTTCTCTCCCCACTAACGCACATGCTTTTAAAACATTTTAAGCACCTGAGAATTTATGAAATCAAAAGTGAAAGCCAAAAAAAAAGTGAAAGCCATTTTTTTCTCTCCCAGCCCTCTTCACAAAATTACTCACTATTACCTATTGGGAAATAATATTCCCAGAGTTTTTCTAATGCACAATTAAAACCTGTTTTTAACTGAATAAGAATTGGTTATTCATTTATCTCATCTATTGAATCTTGGATAACTATCAATGTAAGGGATATATCAGTCTTTTTAATGACCCTATGATATTCCACTGCATAGATGGGTCATGATTCATGTTATCTATTCTCTCTTGATGAACTTCTGTGTGGCTTCTAATCTATCTTTTTTGATCCAATGCCTCAGTGAACTGCTTTGTGTACATATACTGACCCCATATTAGGTAGGATGTTATGATACACCTCTAGAAAACTGCAGGTTCAACACATTTTCCAACTGTTTCCCAAAATAATAGCATCAACCCACATTGCTCCCATCTTCAGTGTATGAGAGTGACCATTCCCACATACCCTGACAACTTAACATTGAATCATCAGCTTAAGCTCTGTCAAGGTAACCAAAAAACAAAATATCTCTCTTACTTTGTATTTCTTTAATTGCTAAAAAGGTTGACATTTCTTTGGTTGTCAATGAGGTTGAAGGTATAATTCATATGTCTACTGGTGATTTTCCAGGAATTTTTTTGCATTTCAATACTGAAACTACTTTTGGAGAAAAACAATAATAAAATGAAAGGGAGTTTTTTGGTTTTTTACTCAAAATGTTAACTGGGTGACTTAGCTCAAAAACAAAATTTCCCTGGCCTTTAATTCATAGGTCTCAACAAATTACGTGTTGCACAAATGAATACAATTTAATTTTTACATTGAAGTAGTTATTCCCTGTATTCATTGTAGACAAAGCACATCCACATTTGTCACAAAGGTTAGAAGCAGAAGCCAAGCCACCTGGATAATGATTTCCATAATGATCTCCCAGGAGCCTAATATTATTCATGTCTTCATGTTAATTACAATACTTACAGCTTCCCTGTAGAGGCCACATATTTATACAGAATGGAGCAGGAAGCTGAGAGGGAAGGGAGATGACATTGGTATGGCTGACAACTTGAAACTTGGAAGCAAGTCTTTAGTGGTCTTTGTGAGCCAGGCCTCCAACAGTTGAAGGTTTTCCATTCTGAATGTGCCCTTATATTTATTCTGGGTTGAATGGTCTCTTTGAGGAAATTCTTGGGTTATTATATTTCTGAGTTGAGCTATTGGATGCTTTCAAAATTGATGTGCATTATCAAGTGAAACAAGAGGTGGGGTCCATCCCTGGATACAGCAGAAGGCATTCCTAACCCAATGTGGAAACACCTGGCTTGCAAATCACATGTTTAAGAGGATGATGAATCAACATGTGTGGATTTAGTATTGTGCTGAAAAATCCAGAACAGAACACAGATTCCCCATAAGGCAAATAAATAATGAGGCAGATGGGGACGAACCATACCAAACTTTAAGCATCTTTTCTGTCCAAGGCCATGTGCTTGGGATCAGGCAATTACTTTGCAGGAGCAGATCAGAAGGATATGAAAGCACAGAATTGGAGTAAAAGATATTCAAATCCCGACCACACCTTATGAGCTGGCGGGCCTAAGGCAGGTTAATTCGGCTTCCTGTGCCTCTATTTCTTCTATGAACTGAGGATAGTGAGAGTGTCTATTTCACAGGAATATTGAAAGAATTAAGCCCCTACTACACAGTGCATGATGGTTTTAATATTTTTTGTCATTTATTATGGTTTATTATAATTCTTGCCTTTGAAGAGTTCAAACTGTCAATTTCTAAGACAGTCCCCATCAGTCCTAGAATCTTGTTTATTCATTACACTATGAGCAGCTATTATACGTCAAGCATTGTGTTAATCATCAGGAGCACTATGGACAGTAAGATACATTGAATTAAGTAAAAATAATTATAGAGAAAAGTTCTCCCAAGAAAAGTAAAGGCTCAAAGAAAGAGATCAGTCAGACAGATGCTAATATAGAGACAATCACCATAGAAGAGTTTTAGAAAAGATATTTCAGCTCAGTGAGGAGATGGACAAGAACTGGAGCAAGAGTGTTCCAGGCAGGAGGAACCCAAAAGAGTGGATCCCAAGATGACATACCTCGCTCTAAGATGCTCTGAAAGTCAACAAGTCTGATGCCTGATAGGGAGAGAGTCCCACAAAATGGGGCTGGAGAGGTATAGCAGCCCTGTCTCAGAGAAGGACCATTTAGTACGATTACCACAACCAAGTTCTTATGAATCTTCTTGACCAACTTACTTTCATGCATTAATTTCCATGTACACTTGGCCCAGTTTCATGAAAACCACCCTCACCTTAGATTCTCAGCTTAGATTCTGGGTTCCAAAGCTTTATTTTATTTTTATCTTACTTTACTCATGCTTTCCATTCCTCCTACCCTACCCCACCCTAAAATATCCCCAGAAAAGGATGGAGACCTGAAGACTCAAGTTGAAAAGCTCTGGAGAGAAGTCAATGCCCTGAAGGAAATGCAAGCCCTACAGACAGGTAAGACCCAACGTATCAGGGCTTTGTCTCAAAAGACAGAGGAAAAGAAATCATGATTTTCCAGCAATTCAAACTATACCCACAATACATGTCAGGTTCTAAGTGACACTCTTTAAAAGAGACATTTTCAAACCGAGGATACCTGTGTTGCCCAGATGGTTAAGCACCTGACCCTTGGTTTTGGCTCAGGTCATGAGCTCACAGTCATGACATCTGCATTGGACTCCACACTCAGTCAGCATAGTATGCACAAGGTTTTCTCTCTTCCTTTCCCTCTTCCCCTCCCCACCACAAGCAAGCAAGCAAGCAAGCAAACACAAACAAACGAATGAATGAATCTTTACAAAAAGAGAGAGATTGACAAGCTAGAGAGGTATCCAGGAGAAAGGATCCAAAAGCTGGGGAGACAATTCTTTTGGGAAATCAGCTTGATTTTCCACTCCCTTCTCCTATATATAGGTGGTATAGAAATAAAAATAGGCATCCGAATAATGCATTTGAAAAGTTTTTCCATAACTCTTCTCTAATAGGCAATGAAACAGAATTGAAGCAAATATTCATTGGTGAAGATACTTAGCATTCATTAGATGTTTACTAAGTGCCCACTGGGAGATCTGCTGAGGTTCAACTAAACACGGGATCACAGGACTCAGTCTGACCACATGGAGGACCAGATGCAAATGGAAAGCCATTGGTTAGAAGCACAGCTTGGCATTCCTCTTTACACAGGAGTAGAGCTCCCAACAGCCTATGCAGCTGTACACCTGTCTTCCAGGAGTTACCCTCCTTGGCCCCCAGGGGTTAAGGAAAAGAGAGCCACACTGGGTGGGTTCAAGAATAGCTCTTGCTCACAAGAGTTATACCTCCAGGATCCAACACCTCACATAGCAACTCCAAAAGCAGAACTTCAAGGGTCCTGCAAGAGACCTGTCCAATTATAAGAGTTACTGCTTTTAGGGAAGTCTAAAGTTATGGCTTTCCATCAAGGATTTATAACTCCCAGGCCAGCTTTGTGTTACCAGTTCAAGGTCATTTTTACCACAAGCAACTTTGCCTGGTCATACTGGTGACATATTCCATTTATCAGGTTTCCAGGAAGAGAATACAAAAGCCAAAGGAAGATTAAATGCCCATGAGGAAGGCAAAAGAGTTTTATTAATGCCTTACCCACAGCTGGGCACTTTAAATACATTACAAACATTAAAACACTAGTCCTCCAACAATTTATGAGATAGGTACCATTATGATTATCCTCATTTTATAGATGAGAAAACTCAGGCATAAATAAATAAGTATTTTCTCCAACAATTACACACCTAGTAAATGTCATGGTCTGGTTCTCCAGACTTTGCCCTAAAACTATCTATATGTTTGGTTTATCCTGAATAACCTAAACAATATTACCAGGGCTGAGTTACCTGCATAATAAAACCACTTTCTTTCCATATGTCAATTCAGACTCTTGTTTTTGTTTTCTTAAATAATTATGAAATACTAATACTTTAGTTCCAAAAGTTCCAAAGAAAGCAGCATACAATAGAGCTACACAAAGAAACAAGCATGTGTATATCAAAGCAGCATGAAACTAAAAATGTCTTGAGGGTGGGACAGACCTGAGTTTATGTAGTTATGATCTTATATGCTACGTAAGTTGCATCTTTACACACAAAGTCGTTATAAGTAACAACTTCTATTAGGCCTCAATATCCTGATATGTAAAGGTGGGAGAAATAAAATCTCACTTTATGGGATTATTGTGATTATTACATTAGTTCATTATTATAAAGTGCTTGGCACAAGGTCTGACACATACAAAATCTCCAATAGATGTTAATTCATAATTATGATCACACATCACTATAATTAATAGTAATATTAACTACTATTTTCCAAGTCCAATCCTGGATGTATAATACTCAAAAAACACTAATATACCAAATTTCACATCTTTACAGTCTGTCTCCGAGGCACAAAAGTTCACAAGAAATGCTACCTTGCTTCAGAAGGTTTGAAGCACTTCCATGAAGCCAATGAAGACTGCATCTCCAAGGGAGGAACCTTGGTTATCCCCAGAAACTCTGACGAAATCAATGCCCTCCGAGACTATGGTAAAAGAAGCCTGCCAGGTGTCAATGACTTTTGGCTGGGCATCAATGACATGGTCACAGAGGGCAAGTTTGTTGATGTCCATGGAGTCACCATCTCCTTCCTCAACTGGGACCACGCACAGCCTAATGGCGGTAAGCGTGAAAACTGTGCCCTGTTCTCCCAGTCAGCTCAGGGCAAATGGAGTGATGAGGTCTGTCGTAGCACCAAGAGGTACATATGCGAATTTATTATCCCTTAATAGACCCTTCTCAAAAATGCAAGATTGATCACGATTTACAGGCTGATGGTTCACAAGAGTAAGTCAGACTCGTCACATGGGCATCTTTTGTGTCCACAGGTAAACAAGAGTCAGCCAATTTTGCTACCACATTTCACTGTGATTTTGCTCTCTATGGAGTATAGGAGGTCAGAAATAATGATCCAGCTATGTGCACAATGTTAATGTGGCTTCTGCAAAATGGGCTATCTAATCCTTCCCACTTTCCTAGGCCCTCTCCTTTGTACAGAAACCAGGTCTGTTAAAAACACAACAGCTACCTGGAAGATTTTCTCTTGGAAGTTTAGTCTATATTTGATTGATGAGCATTCTCTAAATCAGAAATTCTGGGGGCTATATAACCCACAAACCTCTTAGTCTGATGCCCAATCTGTTCCATCCCAGTCATAGCATTTTGCTAGCCCATAAACCTTTCTGAGTCGGTGCATCCCCTGGTGGGACCTGCATCCTGTCTGCCACATCAGAACATGGATATCTCAGAAATGTTCTGATTTAACTTTGTTTTCTTCATGACCCTCTTCCTCCACCATATACACACCCTGATTTTGAAAATGCCCGGTCCAGTCCTGAAAGGGAATGATAAAACAGGATATTTGGTCAATTTGTAGTCCCAGAATTACATTACTATTTCTGACTTGAATAGGTAACACTAAGGCAAACTGTATGGGAAAATAAAGTAGGAAAAAAATAAGTTTACTTTTCCCTTGCTTTAGTATCCTTATCCTCCTAGATGAAATTGAGGGTTGATATTATATATGTCAGTTTCCTTTACATACGTTTTGTATTATATATGTGTAAACAAGCATATATTGAAGTCTATTAGGGGCAATCTACCTTTGGAGGTTGAACATTGGATTTAAATAATATTATTTTGGAGTCATACATCTATGCAATATTTTATTCTGTCAAATGCTATTTCCATTAAATAGTTTAACTAGATTGTATAAAATAACTTTATTGCCTAACATGAAATTACAAAGCTTAGGCATAGGGGAAATGGGCTTTTTAGAAGCCAGGAATTCTAAGTATATTCTGTTCTTCAAATAAATGTCATTTTCTTCTTTAAATATTGAATATGTTTTATGAACAATATCTTTCTTTGCAAACTCGAATTACATGTGCTTGGAATTAAGTTTTAGTTTTTTTCACTGCACAATAATAAAGCCTGAGTTCTGATCGACGTGGATGTATTTGGATGTTGATTAGTTATTCAAACTATGTTAGTTTATATCAAACTTGGCACAAGTTGAGGGGAGGAAATACCCTAGATCTGATCGAACTGGTGATTTAGATATCTTAGGAGAATAATTTTATGTGACAATAAGGAGGTAGTCTGAAGAGAGGAGGAGAATATTAAAAAGAAAGTTGTACCTATAGTTGTTTTTGGTTGGCCCTGACCAATCCCCTATTCCGACACAGCAGAATTTCCCACAAAGATTATGACAATAATGAAATTAATAGACATTGATGGTAGTAAAATCTCATCATACTCCAGGTATTGTGCCAAATTTTATATAATTCTCATTAATCTCTATAACAAACCTGGGTATTAGGCTCCAGAATTATTTCATTTCATAGAAAGAAGAACAAACTGAGAAAAGAGAGATACTAACTTGTCCCACATCACACTCCAGGAAGTAGTGGAATTGTGCCCAGAACCCAAAAAGTTGACTCAGATCCTACTTCTTTGGCAACTATGGAAGAACTGTAACAACGTCAAGCCTGTTCAAGTAGGCAATGGAAGTGGACTCTAATCCATTCTCCCAGTTTCTGTCATTTGGGATAACATTTTGGGCAAACAGCTGACCTTGGTAAGGCATTCAGTCTGAGGTTGTTTCAAAAGGGTAAATAAAGACAACCAGGGTTCATACAAGTCTGTGTCAGAGTTTGGGTCTCCAGGAGATGGGGAATATAGCTAAGATGATCCTTCTCCCGAGTACTCCAACCAGAAAGATCAAAATAAGCTTAATTCAAAAGAATAGATGAAGGTTAGTGAGGGGAAATCACAAAGAGATTAGCATGAGGAAGAGCAGATGGATGGGAGACAGAGCAAACTGGAAAGAGTAGATTAAGAAATTATCTGGTTTGCCCAGAGCTGAACCCATGACCTCGACTTTATTATTTGGCCAACAAATTATCCAAAAACCATACCCACAAGATTCAATAACCTAGATTTCCCTTTAGTCTATTTTGCTTTTTGGATACTATTTCTCAAACAGTTGATCTTCAGGCAAGATTAATAAATAGGTCTTAACTCTTAGGTCAATTTTTCTTTTTTTTTTAAAGATTTTATTTATTTATTCATGAGAGACACAGAGAGAGGCAGAGACATAGGCAGAGGGAGAAGCAGGCTCCATGCGGGGAGCTCAGTGTGGGGCTCAATCCCAGGACCGTGGGCTCACGCCCTGAACCAAAGGCAGGTGCTCAACTACTGAGCCACCCAGGTGTCCCATCTTAGGCCAATTTTTCTGTCTCCATCAAAGTTACCAGACTAGGCAGAGAATGTAGACAAACATCCTGAAGCTTGGTGGAAATAGTGCCCTAAGCAATTAGTAATGTCTCTCACAAGCTCATGGTACGAGAACATCAACATTTACCAACATTGTCATCCCTAGGGTAAACACTTGGCTTCCTGAACATATCAATTATAAGCCAAGCCCAATGGCTAAAGTCCTACAAGCCTTCCAGGAAGCTGATTTTAATCTATAGAGCAGTGCTTCTCAAACTTTCTTGTGCTTACAAATCATCTGGGAAACTTGTTAAATTGCAGATCCTGAGGGTCTGGGCTGAGGCCCTAGATTCTGGATTTCTAAAAGCTTACAGCTGAAACCAAGAGTACTAGATCACACACCATGATCTGAGAGCAAGAGCCTAAAGCTTTAGTTACTTGCCCAGAGACAGTCTCAGATGGACTCCTGCAAGTTTACTTTTCTTTAACTCAAATATCAAAGGTAAGACCTGCAGTTCATCTGAATGAAGAATAATACTGAGAGCAATTTTTCTACCTACCAGGATACCTATGCCGCTATCCATATCATTAAATGAGGTACAAGGTAAAAATCAATTAGTTAAAGGAAATATCAATAAGAGAGGCTGGAATTCATGATGTGAAGGAAGACATACTGCAATGATCAATGATTTCTTTCTCTTCCCTAGCACTGCTGAATAGCATTTCTTAAACTAAAAATAAAGAGAATTATAGTCTTTCCTGCTTTCAGAGTAGTGAAACCTAATCATATTCTCACCAAATAAAACACATGTAATGAATGAAGAAGCCTACAAATTCAGCTAGTCAATTAGCTCATTTAATCTAATGTCAGAAATTCAGAGGATAGCTACTAACTATAAAGCACTTTGCTAGGTAATATTGGAGAGACAGAAAAGTGAATTATGGTTCCTAAACTCAAGGATATAACAACATGGCACATAGGAAGAGAGCAAGACTGACTACTCATTGGAGTCTAGGAAGAAAATATTAGTACCTCTATTTATATATGGAAGTAAGTGGACTATAGTTTACTACTATGTAGTTTTGCCTAAATTGAACACCATAAAATGGTTGGTGATTTAAATAAGTTTTTGCACAGAAACACCAAATTGAATTTATGCTAACGATGAAAAACAAAAACAAAAACACATGCACAAATATGAGCAAGCACAGCTGACAATTCTACTCCTAGTGTGATTGGTTCAAAGAAGCATACAGAGCCCCAGCAAAGCAATTAGAATCTTTTCCAGGGGCTGCCCTCTGACATGGGGGCAATGAAACTCTTTCTGTTGGAAATGTTAAATTGGGGCAAAGTCAATTTAGGGCTTCTGGCAGAACTCTTCCCTTCCAGATGGATGCAACATGCAGAATGAAGGAAAGCAAAGATAAGCAGTAATGAGAAATGATGAGAAGGGGAAGGGTAGAGGAAACAAGAGCATGTAGGTGTGTGTGTTCACACAGTGAGGACTTTGTCATTTCTAAAGTCCTGGTTTCTGCTTCTGTAAACTCTATGAGCTATTTCAATCACTTCAAGCTACACAAGACAAGTTATCTTTTCCATTTGAGCTAGTTTTTGTTGCCATAGCAGCCAGGATAAGCTAGGTTATGATCTCACAGAGTTTACATCTAGATAGGCAAAACATTTTTTTAAGATTTTATTTATTTATTCATGAGAGACACAGAGAGGCAGAGACATAGGCAGAGGGAGAAGCAAGCTCCATGCAGGGAGCCCAATGTGGGACTCGATCCCAGGACTCCAGGATCACACCCTGGGCCGAAGGCAGATGCTCAACTGTTGAGCCCCCCAGGCATCCCTAGTTTGTCAAAACAGAACAAACATGCAAAATACAAAACAAAGTCATTTCTGAAAATGATATAAAAAATGTGGAAAGACTGACATGACAAAATGGCATAACAAAATGGCATAATAAAAATAGTAACAGAAGAAAATAAAACAGGGAGACAAAAGATGGAGTGATCAGAGAGAGCAATATTAGACATGATCAGCCCTTTCTGATACAGCTCTCTCTCCATTGAGAGACAGACTAGAAAAGAAAGCCATCTTACAATCAGCAGGGCAAAACTCCAAGAAAGAGAGACTCTGAGAGAAGTGAGTTACTGCAAACGACCCAGCAAGCCATGGACAGGGCAGGGACTAGAATTCAGTTTTCTGTCTTCTAATGCAGAGCCTAGAACATGGTAGCCTAGTTAGAAGTCAGATAAGGTCATGTGACTTAGAGTCAAAAGACCCAGATTCCATACTTAAGACATACGGGACTCCAGGTAAGAATAAATTTTGGGGCCCCCCACTCCTCATCTATCCGTAGGAATGATAGAGCATTCCAGGACAGTGAGGTAAAATTTGCAAATACAATTTATGAGAAAGCAAATATTCTAGACATGGCACCTTTATAGTTTTGTTGTATTATAAAAATAAAACACCTCATCATAGGAAAAAAAATTGAAATATAGAAAAGACATTTTATAAATTATCTTTTATCTCAGACTTTTTCATTTATTTAGCCAATTAATATTTATTGAGCATATATATGCAGCAGTATCTGATTCTACCAATACCCATACAAAGTTGTAGAGGATACTTCACTAGCCAATGCTATATCCTGCTTTATTTTACTTATAAAAATAATTTTCCTACTTTTTCATAATATTCTCTTCATGGTTCTATAATATTTCAATGTGTTATTCTTTAAGCACATATGCAACTGCAATTTTTCAAATATATTTATGGTCGAAACTTAACTAAATATAAATGTTTTATATTTATTTAATAAATGGAAATTTTGCTTTTAATTTTTCTTGTTCTAAACAATGCTGTATGAACATCTTTGTGGTGATTTTTTTTTTCTTTTTGACTTTGGATTTTCCTCCCCCATTAAGAGAGATTTACAGAGTGGAATTATTGAATCAGAGTGTACAAATAACTTAAGCACTTTGCAATTTGGTGCTAAGCTGTTTTCTAAAAGGATTGTATGGGGCACCTGGGTGGCTCAGAGTTTGAGTGTCTGCCTTTGGCTCCAGTCATGATCTTGGGGTCCTGGGATCAAGTCTCTAATTGGGCTTCCCACAGGGAGCCTGCTTCTCCCTCTGCCTATGTCTCTGCCTCTCTTTTTGTTTCTCATGAATAAATAAATAAAATCTTGGGCAGCCCAAGTGGCTCAGCAGTTTGGCACCTACCTTCAGCCCAAGGTGTGATCCTGGAGACCCGGGATCAAATCCTATGTCAGGCTCCCTGCATGGAGCCTGCTTCTCCCTCTGCCTGTGTCTCTGCTTCTCTCTCTCTCCCCCCTCTCTCTCTGTATGTCTCTCATGAATAAATAAATAAATAAAATCTTAAAAAAATAAATAAAATCTTTAAAAAAATAAAGGGGGGGCAGGGCAAGATGACAGAAGAGTAGGGTCCCCAAGTCACCTGTCCCCACCAACTCACCTAGATAACTTTCAAATCATCCTGAAAGCCTACAAATTCAGCCTGAGATTTAAAGAGAGAACAGCTGGCACGCTACAGAGAGAAGGGATTGTGCTTCTAACAAGGTAGGAAGACAGAAAAATACATACATACATAAGAATCCAGTGGGGAAGGGGCCCCCGCCAGGAGCCGGGCTAAAGCCTGGAGGCAAGAGCCTCCATGACTGGATAGCCCCGACCCGGAGAAGCAGGAACTATAAAAATCCACCCGG